TGTATATCCCGTTAACATTAGAGGTTTGAAATAAATGCTTCAGTCTTTTATGCCAGTAATCTGAAACAATAGGTAGCTTTAACAAGCTGAGTCTTACAGCATGGTTTCAGACTTTTGTCCTGTTTTCCTGTGTTTATCAGTCCATCTTTGGAGCACATAATGACTGTGTTCACTGTGAGGAATTGGTACATGTGTGTATCACATCCTAATTCTCTTACGTATCCTTCCCTCCCCTCTCCTTCCATTTCTTGTTCCCCTCATGTCTAAAAGATCTATCTTCCTGTTTCCTATTGTCTATTTTTTATTTTTCTCTTTTTTTATATTTTGGGTTTCTCATGTAAGAGAAATCATGTGCTATGCAAGCTTGTATGTCCAGTTTATTTCACTTAATATTGGGTCTCAAGGTACATCCATCTTCCTACAGATGACCCCAGGGTATCCTGCTTTGTAGGAGAGTAGTGCTCCATTATGTAGAAATGCCCCATTTTCTTTATCTGGGTCCAGTTACTAAACTGCTTATGGATGTGCAGCCTTGTTTTCAGCCAAGCAAGTCTTACTTAGTAAATGCAATAGGTTACATGCAAACAGGTTGTTGAAAACACCCACTTACACCAGAAATTTTATACTAAATGTGCATCAAATTCTGTTACTCATAGAGATTTCTTCATTCTTTAGAGTATGTCCCTTTTGAAAACAGTGCGTATACCTGGGCTGAGAAGGCGCAACATGACCTCTTAATATGAGTGATTTGATTGGATTGCTCTCTCAGGTAAACAACAGATTTGGAGCATTTAATATTTGGAGAAGCACCAGGATAAATGGGAGTAAATTGAATGAAAAATGAGATTCAAGGGAATGCATTTCCAAAAACAAAATCTTCTTATTTTCCCCCTCTTCCTGGCATAAAAATAATTCAGAGTGATTTGGATTTTCTGAAACATAAAGTGAACACCAATCAACATTAAATGTAATTTGGTTCCTAGCTACATACATATCCTGCCTATGTGGCCTTTAGTTTTAGAGGGCCCAGGGTTTCCTTTTCTAGTCAAGAAGGAAACCCAAATATTTTATTCCTTTAGCCTAAATCCTTTGGGTGGAAGTAGCTCTCTGGGACCCCTGGAAGAAAGGTGGACCATGAGGGTGTGGACTTGGATCTCTGGGAGGGGGAGCTGGTGTGGTCTTGGATAGGACCTTAGTTTCTCCATGTGCATTCAATCTGTGAATTTTTTTTTTTTTTTTGAATTTCTGGAAACCATGCAGAGGGCTGATGCTATAAAGCTGGAAAAAGCACACACGGAACAAATAAATAAATAAATAGCCGCCCTGTGCCATAAAAGGATTCTGCTTCTTCAGAAATGACTCAGAACAAACTGGCCTCGGAGAGGTGACCAATGTGCCTCACTTCCTGGAAGCCTTCATCATCTTTCTCAGGCACGCTGGCCCAAGGAAAGGAGGTAAAAGGACATTTCACTCTCCTGGGTAGGACTGGCGAAATGTTGAAAGCACTCCTTGCTGAAGAGGGACAAGGCACTCCTTCTTTGTGTTACGACATCAAGTTCATTGGCTTCAATGCTGGAGAGCTGCGGATCATCCTTTTGTCTACTTAGGACTTTCCTGACAAAATAACTCTGAAATTTCTGGCTAGTGATTCTTATCTAGAACTGAAAATGTTTACTCAGTTGTCTTGTACAGTTGCCTGGTATGGATAAAAAGAACTTAACTAAAGTGTTTTTATTGTGTGGGGTTATTAAAAAGCCCACTCAGGAATGCAAAAGAAAAGGGAGAATTGCACCTGGTACTGGAAAATAATCATCTGAAAGGGAGGACGCAATTTTACTAATGTCATTTCTTTCTTCAGTGAAATGATATACAATCAAGTCTATGATATCATACATGTAGACTTAGGAGCAGGCTTTCTGCTAAAATATATCTAGAAAAAGTTCTCATGTTACTAATATTTTTAGAAAGTTAAATATATTTAGAAATATAGAGAAGTGAGAAAGGGTAAGTATTTTAAGGCTTGTATTTCTTTTTTGGGGTTTATAGTTCTTTACTGCAATTTTCACTCTTCATATGAAAGACTTCAGGCAGAAAATACACAAAAAGCCCCTGGCCTACCAAACTTACAGAAACAAGACTTAAAATAGAAATAAAAGGCTTGGGAGAGAGCAATGCGTGGTCCACTGAATAGACTTTGATCAAACTGTAGGTAATATCACAAATAACTTGACTAACATTTTATTTTTATAGAGAAAACTTAAATGCATTAAGAAATTAATGGTTTAAATGGTTAAATTACAAAGAAATCTTAGATAACTAAACAGAATGGAAAGATGTATTCTGACTCTCGGAAGTAGCTCTAATTAGAGTGGTGGTAGATTCTTAAAATCTTAGCCTGAGTCAGGTCACCCATTAATCCAGCTGAGTTTTTTGTATTCATACTTTCCAAAATGCTTTCTCCCTTTTCCTTTCTAACTCAAAATCATATGCCTTAGACAAAAGTTAACTTAGTTCTATTCAGTGGCAAAAGATAGAATTCTTGAGGAATCCAGGTTTTTTAACCACAGAATGTTTAAAGTGTCATAGGTGTTTTCTCTGATAGCTTGAGTGCTTTCAATCTAATGAGTCCTTGATGGATCAATAGTGCATGTCTCTATTTGTTTTCATGAGAAACTACTTTGAAGATATCAATATATAATACAACAAGCATTGTTAATTTCCTACCACTTTGTTTGTAACTCTGTATTGTCTGTACTGTTCTTTTGCTTTGCTGTAAAAGGTTGTCTGTCTGTTAATGTTTTTCTCTTATTTTTAAAATAAAAAAAGAGTGCTTGCCTTATAGCATCCTATAAATCAGTGTTCCTCAAACATGTGTTCCCTCAGACCGTCAGAATCAGAATCACCCAGCGTGCTTATGGAAAAAAATGCAGATTCTCATTGCTCACACCGGAGTTGTTGATTCAGATACCCAGGGATTTGCTTTGAGAATTTATAATTTTATCAGACTTCACAGACAATTTTATACACAGCAAAAGCTGAAAACCACAGCTAAGTCAGCAGTGTCCTAATGCCAGAGAATGTCTCCAAGCGTTCTGATTCTTAGTAAAGTGACTATAATGTTCCCATCCAAAGTAGAAAAAAACCCTTTTATTACGACATTTATCTTGCATCAAGGTACCCCTGATGAGGGTTCCCTTGGGGAATGAAAGGAGGACTTAGAAGAAACATCATTGGATTTCCTTACTATAGAATAAACTGTGTGAATGAAAACATACTACAGAGAAAAGTAAAACTTGTGTACTTGTCACAACACATAAGGTTGATCTTAAGCATCTCCTGCCTCATTAGTAGGGGAGTTTTTTTTTCTTCTACAGGTTCAGTTAGTAAAATATTTTAAGCTTTATGGGCCATTCGATCATGATCTCAATCTCTCAATCACTCAATTGTAGGAAAGCAGCTGGGACATGAGTGAAGTTGTGTTCTAATAAAATTTTATATATGGACACTGGAATATGAATTTCCTAGGCTTTCACATGTAAGAAATCATGATCCTTCTTTTGAATTTCTAAGAATAAAACTCATTCTTAGCTCACAGAGCTATAACAAAATAAAAAGTGAACAAGACTCTCCCCCATGTAGTTTCTCATTCCCAGTCCCAAAATAATTGTCTTCAAACTTTAAATTTACCAAGAGGGCATACTGAAACTCAGATTGTTGAGCTTCCCCTGCAGAGATTCTGGTACCAAATATTTAGGGATGGCCTTGATTATTTGCATTTCTGAGAAAGTCCTAGATTGTTTCAGTGAACTTCAAGTGCCAGGCAAAATAAAGTGGTTAGTGTCTAACATCTACTTCATTTTTATCAATGGAGAGCATTTTATTAAGTTGTATATTTAGGAAGAACAAATCCAAAGGAAACTGTAATAGATTACTTTGCTCAGAATATATTGAAAGCCTGGCTGAGACTTGCTTATCAACAGCAGAGGTAGAGATGTGTAAGATTTCTTGGCAAAAGAGACGTGGGAGGAGAAGAAATAACAGAGAAACAGGGTGGAGTGTCCTTGTTACCATTACATTAAGAACAGGTTTGTCTGACTCATGCTGACCTTGAAGTAATGTAATAGAGAATCTGAAACTGTTTCCATGTGAATCATGGTTCCTGGATTCCAAGTCATTATTGTTATTTTTATTATTGAGGAAACAAAAATCATTATGTGGTCAACTAAGTGGTTGACAATTCAAAACAACTAGAAAAATTGAAAGGACCAGACCCCTCCATTAAAAAAAAAAAAAAAATTTTAGCCTATTTGTTGTTCTGTGCCTGAGAAAATGGAAGGAGTTTCGTTTCAGAAGGATGCAGCCTGCCTCTTAAATAAAGATGAAGGATCAAGGTGAGGAGGGAGGAAGGTGTCTTTCATCCTTCATGTCTGAATTTGACCCCTACTTCTACTTCCTCCCTTCATAAAGTATCCTAATTACTTTATTTCAGTGACATGCAGATATGAAAATAAATGAAGAATGAGAAACATGAAAGGAATTTATTTAGAGTTTGCCACTAGAGTTTGTATCTGGAATGTCACGCAGAGGTCTGTGCAGATCTTGGTTGGGTCCTCAACTTCCTGGTTGTATTGGGAAACTTTAAGATATAGGGCCTAGGGAGACGCTGTGAAGTCCCTGGGGGGAGCTATACCTTCGGGCCCTACTCTCTTCCTCTTCCTTCTGTTACTTCTCAGACAAGATGTGATAGATATTGCTCTACCATGTGATCCTGCATAATGTCCTGCTTCGGACTTCAAGCATCAGAACCAAACCATCAGGGATTGAAACCTCTAAAACAGAGCCAAAATAAACTTTTTCTTATCAAAAGCTTATTATCTCAGGGGTTTGTAATAATGGTGGAATGCTGACTAGCGTACTTACTATATACGGAGTCAAACATCATTACTTGTGTTTAGGCAGGGACTTGAAGCCAGGGAGAGAATGGGGAGGCTTCATAAAAGGAAGAAGAGATCAGGTGTGTTCAGATCGGACACAGGGGCTGCCTGTCACAGGAATGGTGGACTGCCTCTAGGAATGGTGAGATTTCCTCCACATGTTTTATAGTCAACTGCTTATTAGTCAGCAAGCTCCTTCTTTCCAGATTGCTGCATAGGGATGTAGCTCTAGAAAGATGTATTTGGAGTCTGTATAGATACATAGCTTTTTGCTTTCTCTTACTACGAATACCTGAGTAAGAGCCATTATTAGTTCTGCCTTTTGAATAAGGGTTCCTGGGGGAAGAGATCTTGCTTCAGTGACCTGTTGGGAACCAACTGCATAGCCTTCCTTTTGACGTGCTTCTTGGATAAAGCTACTTTCATCAGTGAACATCATCTCCTCAGGGTCATGGAGGCAGCTCACTGTTTGCCTGTTTACATAGGTCTGGGAGACCACTTGTTCATAAGAGTAGCTAGCATCTGTTCCTGTAGAGATCAAAGAGGCAGGATTAAGAAGAGCACAAGTTTTTTCTTATAATAATCTCAGGGGTGTCTAAGGCAGCACCCTGATGCTTGGCAAGTCATTCCCCTGTAAATCACAAGTAACCTCGGATCTCAAGAATTGCTCTGACCTGATAGGGAGTCAGGACTTCTACTTTCTGTCATGAAGTTTTCCTTTGTTACCATAGCAATAGCTGCTACTGCCCTCAGGCAGGATGACCATCCAGCAGCCACTCCATCTTTCTGAAGTTATGCCACTAGGCAGAATTATTGTTCTAGCCTTTGGGTCAGGACACCCAAAGCAATCTCTCTCTTTTCTGATACATAGAATAAGAAAGGATATTCTTAAATCAGGCATTTTATTATACTATAAATCACAATCCAATTGTTGGCTAATTAGGTTAGGGAGACCCACCAACGTACCCAAAGGTAAAATCTGGCCTTTACCAGAATTAGAGAATTTTCCCCAATTTTGCTAAGAAATCTCTTCCTACCAAGGGACTAGGACATGATGGGACAATTAGAATCCTGTGCTTAAACATTTGGCATTCAAACTGACACAAGAGAGTGAGAGCAAGGAATCTACAGTTAAGGATCCCCCTCAACCCCAACTATGGCTATAGCCCTAGACTGGGGCCTTTGAGAGAAATAAATCAAAACAGAATGAGATAATTCAATTGGCTCTACCATGTCATCCAGAGTTACCCAGTGTTCCTCATAGAAAATCATAGTGTCCGTGGACTGGGACACTGTGGGTTCCCTTGGGCATCTTCTGAGCCGGAAATGAGGGCTTTGGCTGCCTTAGCTCGTCCTCTGGGAGCAGAGACTGTCAACCCTCCAGTGCCATGAATCAAGCACATTGACTGCCTCATACTTGTAACAGAGCCCGGACGGTAGTTTATTGTAGGTGTGTATCCAGTGTTCAGACTTCTTGCACTTAAACCAGGAACCATGATTGTCCTTGGGTTTTCTCTTAGATGACCTTGGGAGAGTTAAATGCATTGTCAACTGCAACAACTATAACTCTAGCTTTTCTCTTTGACCTTCTTCCAGACTCAACTCTGGAGCACAGAAGAGGTGATGTCCAGCAATTCGGTCATAAGTGTCTGGGGTCCCACCTGAAGTTTCTTCATTAAACAGGTGGGAGAGACACATATCCCCTGGAGACACAGGTGTGGGTCTGGGTATAGTATCACGAAAGATATCTCTCTCTTCCTCAGGGACTACACTAAATACCATAGTCTCTGGTTTTTTCTTGAGATATAGGACACAAACCCTGAACATGAGGGATTTCACTCCACCTTCTATTTTAAGCTTAGACAATTTAA